GATGTAAAAAAAAGGATACTTTCAAACAGGGTTAATTTGATGCAAGTGTGTGTATTTTGATTCTTTCGGTGATGTTTGCATGTATTTTGTTATATACTTGGAGGCCATTGTTTGAGTCAGTTTAAAACTTCCATTACCAAGATATGAAACAGATGTACATGATTTATATGTCTCTTTGACTTGTTTAAGTAATATATATATAATATGTTAAAAAATAATCTAATGATTAATTTTTAATTATTATAAGGCACCAAACCAAGATCTTCCTATGACAGTTAAAAATTTGATGCAAAAAACTGTAGATGCATAAATGTACTGGTATTGGTAACCAAAGGGGAAACTGAAGTTATATATATTCTACGTCTTATAGTGTAAGATGATTTAATAAATTAATTTTACTTTTCTGAATTTTGCTACTCTTTATCATCAGTAGTTTTTGCTGCCATCTTTGAAAATCATAGCAGTTCAAAGACATCGTACAATAAACGTTGTACATTTGCTGTTATGTTAAACTTATATTAAAGTTTTTCTTCATTACCCATTCAAGCCATCTCCAGCCATTATTAGTCTCAAAGTGGGTTACTCGTCACTGAATCATACAATGAAGATTTTAAAATTGAAAACCAGGATTCAATTTTTAGTCTTGCATATTTTGTTCATAAGTGAAAAAAAAACAAAAAAAACTGATGCCACATTCCTTCTCAAAAGCCCATTGGATTCTGGGATTTACCTTGAAGATATACTAATATATATATATATATTTAAATAGATGCATGGCTTAAAAGAAATTAGATAAATCATGTTAGATATGTTTTAAGTTTCTGTCTCTATGGGTGAATAGTTTTGTAATGTTTTATATTGTTACGTCTCCGTTTGTTAATTAACTTTCCGTAACTTCGTTCTGACGAAACTTTAACGACACAAGTCTTTACTTAATAAAACTGGTTTATTCTTTCCGAATATAACTCTGCGATACACTTAATCCAGCTTAATCAAGTTTTGCTTTCGGGCAACCACTTCTTGGGAAACATGCATAGCGAGCGCGGAGCACGTTAGTCTCTCACATGTGCCGAGGGGTTTTGGATGAGCCAATGAGTAAATCAATTTAATGTCGTCGCTTTCAATACAGTTATAATATTTCGCGTTTTCAAGCATGTTTGTGTGTGCGTGTGTCTTTTTGTGCACTATGAAATGAAGTTGAGCGTGCACTGGGTCGTCATGTGTCTTTGTTCAATTGTTTCCTTTAGAAAATTCGTCCAAAGTTAAATGTAGGCTACCTAAACAATGGCCGTCCATAATTTTAAATTAACACATCACAGGAAAAGCAGTTAGCCAAACATCACCCCTCGCCAACTATTTGGCTATTGCTGTACGATCGAATAGTGGAAGTTGAGCGTTAACCGCAACTCCAAAGAGCGGAGCGCGCTTTTGGGGCCAACGGAACGCGAACCATAAACCATCGTATTCACAGTCTGGACATCCTCGCCACTAGACCACACCTGGCTCATCATTAACGCACCTATACAAAGGGTCAAGAAGTATTGAAAATGCGTAAGCAAAACGAAAGAGGGAGTGCTGTGAGATTCAACTAAGTAGGCGTAACTCATCCAATCAGTCTAAGAGTTCTAAAATAAACAAGGTTGAATTAGAAATATATTCTAGAAACCCATTCTATAAATTTATACATTTTGATTTACGTCACTCTCATGGAACAAAATTAGTATATTCGTGGAACTTTTTTGACAAAGACCATCTGACGTAAGAGATAAAAAATAATCAATAAAAAGGCGTTGTCAGGACAACATCAATCTCTCAATAACCGTATATATACAAAGATTTATTTAGCAAGTTTAATACTGGTGTCGTATTCGTTTGTCGCACATATTGGTTTTTTTCAAGGGACACCAAAATCTTAGATACGTTTTTTTTTTGTGAAAGATTTTTCGAACGAATAATCGCAAAGTAACTTGAACTTTAAATTGCAAGATTGTGAAGAACAGCGAATTGAATTTGTTTTTACGTCACGAAGAAAGAGGAAAAAAAAAAAACAACAGAAAGGTAGTTATTCCGGAACTTTGATGCTCACAAAATGTGATGGTAAAAACACAAAATGCACCCAGACATGCGTGTCTGTGGATGTATATATGTCTACATCAACCTCCCGTAATCTGTCTGTGCCCTCAAGTATAACTTGGTGAAAATAAAAGCAGCCAACAAAATAATATCGGGGTTGTTACCGTCATTATATAATGACGTTTTAACCATTTCAAATAGATGCACTTAAGAGTCAATATTTACGAAATGTTAACCCTAAGATGGCTTTAAAATAAAAATAAACGTGGATTTCAGTTGAAATGTAATAATAGCGAGAGTTATATTCAGAATATCCAATATTGAAGAAAGTTTGAGTACTTTAGTGGACTGCAACTGTCTATTGAATGGAAAGGAGATGACGTTTCGGCTTCTCTTATAAGGCCTTCTTTCCTTGATATAGAAGCCGAAACGTCGCCCCTTTTTCATTCAACAGACAGTTGCGATCCATTAAAAACTCAAACTTATTATGTCTGCTCTACCTAAAGTTCCACCGAAACAACGTTGAACAAAATTACGAAGATTGAAAAAAGAAGTTGAAATTGAAATTTCTAATCCTCGAATAAAAATCTCATATAACTTGGATGTTAATTGGAGGAAAATAAGATGGTTAGAAAGACAGTATTTACAACGTTTATTTTGTCTGTCCTAAACAGAAATTTTCAAAGTTCGTAAATCGGAGAGAAATTATTATTAAATTATTGTGAATATTTGGCATTTCCAATTATTCTATGTTTTACCAAACGTGTGTTTATGAAAGAAAAAAAAAGATAAAACAAGAAAGGCATTCGGTTTCACAGGAATGATAATGTAAATGTACGTATAGTATTAGAGACATAAATGTCCTGTTTAACAAAGCAACGGGCTTCTTGAAATGATTTCACGTCATAACGCAAATCAGACACTCATACTTCACGCTTCTGTACACACACATATTTCTCCCATGTCGGGCCTGAAAGTCTAGTCGTCATAACCACATGCCTTGAAGAAGAAAAAAAAAATATTTAATGCTACACTGGGTACGTGGTTTTAACGATACCGAATAATTATTTTGATGTTTTCGTTGTTTATTTTTCTGTGTCTGTTCATCGTCTACTTTCTTTGTGAAGCACGTTAAATAGACTGTGAAAAATTAAAGAAAAATAACAGTAAGAATAATTAGCTAATAAGTTGAAACTTGATTTGCAATTTGAATGCAAAGTTACACGAGGACTATAAATGCGCATGTCCGTTCCAACTCGTGAACAGACTAGAATGGAGGCAGGTACTCAATAACACCCATCGCCAACTATTGAGGCTAGTCTTGTCACTCTTATAGCGCACCTGCGGCCCCCGAAGTGCGAAGCGTGTTT